GAGACCCCTCGGGGCCTCCTCAGGGCCCCTCCCCCATCCCCTCAGAGCCCCTCACGCCTTCGCCCGCCCCGCTCGGGCCGCGCTCCCGGGCGCACTCACGGCCGTAGAGGGCGATGGCGGCGCTGTCGGGGCCGGTGCGGACCTCGAGGCGCAGCGGCTGCTGCTCCTGGTGCCGCTGGATCTCCCCGTTCGCGTCCCCGACCGTGAGGAGCCGCACGCCGGGGAACACCGACACCGCGGCCATCTTGGACCGCGCCGCGCCCCGCCCACGCGGGGCCACGCCCCCCGACCCGGCCGGGACACGCCCACAGCGGCCGGGACACGCCCACAGCGGCCGGGACACGCCCACAGCGGCCGGGACACGCCCACAGCGGCCGGGACACGCCCACACTGACCGGGACACGCCCACACCGGCCGGGACACGCCCACAGCGGCCGGAACACGCCCACCGCCACCCGGGACACGCCCACACCGACCCTGGGCACGCCCACAGCTGCCGGGACACGCCCACCGCCACCCGGGACACGCCCACACTGACCCGGGACACGCCCACAGCGACCGGGACACGCCCACACTGACCCGGGACACGCCCACAGCGACCGGGACACGCCCAGCGCCACCCGGGACACGCCCACACCGGCCGGGACACGCTCACACTGACCCGGGACACGCCCACACTGACCCGGGACACGCCCACAGTGGCCGGGACACGCCCACACCGGCCGGGACACGCCCACACTGACCCGGGACACGCCCACAGCGGCCGGGACACGCCCACACTGACCCGGGACACGCCCACCGGCACCCGGGACACGCCCACACCGGCCGGGACACGCCCACCGCCACCCGGGACACGCCCACAGCGGCCGGGACACGCCCACACCGGCCGGGACACGCCCACAGCGGCCGGGACACGCCCACAGCGGCCGGGACACGCCCACAGCGGCCGGGACACGCCCACCGCCAACCGGGACACGCCCACACCGACCGAAACACGCCCACACCGACCCGGGACACGCCCACACCGACCGGGACACGCCCACAAAAAAGGCAGCGGGCGGGGCTGGTGCGCCCCCTGGCGGGCGGGAGGGCAACGGGACACCGGGAATGGGAACGGGGCTGCGGGAATGGGCATCGGGAATGGGAACGGTGTACCGGGAATGGGAACGGGATACCGGGAATTGGAACGGGGCACCGGGAACGGGGCACCGGGAATGGGAACGGGATACCGGGAATGGGAACGGGGCACCGGGAACAGGAACGGGGCACCGGGAATGGGACAGCGGGAACGGGAACGGGGCAGCGGGAATGGGCACCGGGAATGGGAACGGGACACCGGGAATGGGAACGGTGTACGGGGAATGGGAACGGGATACCGGGAATTGGAACGGGGCACCGGGAACGGGGCACCGGGAACGGGGCACCGGGAATGGGAACGGGATACCGGGAATGGGAACGGGGCACCGGGAACGGGGCAACGGGAATGGGAACGGGGCAACGGGACACCGGGACACCGGGAATGGGAACGGGACACCGGGAACGGGAACGGGGAACAGGGAATGGGAACGGGATACCGGGAATTGGAACGGGGCACTGGGAACGGGGCACCGGGAACGGGACACCGGGAATGGGAACGGGGCACCGAGAACGGGACAGCGGGACACTGGGAATGGGACAGTGGTAACGGGAACGGGGCACCGGGAACGGGACAGCGGGAATGGGCACCGGGAATGGGAACGGGACAGCGGGACAGGACAGCGGGAATGGGGAATGGAACGGGACACCAGGAATGGGGCACCAGTACCGGGACACCGGGAAGGTGGCGGCGCTGGAGACGAACACCTTTATTGGCACCATCGAGTCCGGTGGAGCACCGGCAGCACCGGAGGCGGCGGGATCCTCCCGGAGGGCTCCCGGTAACCGGATCCAGGGCCAGCCTCGATCCGTGGGGACGCCGGGAGGCGCTCCCGGCTCCGTGTCCTCACCGGGAACTAGGAGGGGCAACCGGGACCCCCGGGACGCCTCACCGGGACAGCGGGAGGGACGCGGGGGTGGATTTTGGGGGGACACGCGTGGGCTGGAGGGGGCTGCGGTGGGTTTGGAGGGCACGGGGGGTCCGGACTTACCGGGAATTCCCGGTTCTGAACCCCCAAAATTCCCGGTTCTAAACCCTTGGAATCCCCGGTTTTGAACCCCCAAAATTCCCGGTTCTAAACCCCCGGAATTCCCGGTTCTAAACCCCCAAAATTCCCGGTTCTAAACCCCCGGAATTCCCGGTTCTGGACCCCCGAATTTCCCGGTTCTGGACCCCCGAATTTCCCGGTTCTGAACCCTCGGAATTCCCAGTTCTAAACCCTTGGAATTCCCGGTTCTAAACCCTCGGAATTCGCGGTTCTGAACCCCTAGAATTCCCAGTTCTGAACTCCCGGAATTCCCGGTTCTGAACCCCCGGAATTCCCGGTTCCGTACTACCATTATTATTGCTATCATCCCCACTATCCCTTTTTTATTGCCATTATTCCCACTATCATTCCCACTATTCCTATCACTTTTATTCCCATTATTCCCATTATTCCCGCTATCATTCCCGCTAGTCCCACCACTTTTATTCCCCTTATTCTCTTTATTCCCGCTATTATTATCACCACTATTCCTATATTTTTTACTCTCCTTATCCCTGCTATCCCCGCCATCACTCCCCCTCTTCCTATCACTTTTATTCCCATTATTCTCGCTATTATTTTATATTCTATAATATTTTATATAATTTATCCCTTTCCCCCTGTGCTATCCCCGCTATCACTCCTGCTATTCCTATCGCTTTTATTCCCATTATTCCCACGATCACTCTCACTATTCTTATAACTTTGATTACTTTTATTCCCATTATTCTTGCTATTATTATTATCATTTCAACCCCTTTTCTCCCCGCTATTCCCACCCCTTTTCCCCCTGTGGAGGGGGACACCCCGGGGTGTCACCCATCGGGGGGGGTGGCACCCAGGGGTGTCACCCGCGGGGGGTCCCCAGCCCCACCAAACCCAAAAATCACCGCCGAAGAGGGGAGCGGGGGGTCCCCAGAGAGCCCTGGGGGGATTTTGGGGGTCCTGAAGGTTTTTGGGGCTGGGAACCCCAAATTTCAGGGGGGGTCCCCAAAATTCCCCCCCCTGGAGCGACTCCCTGCGGCTGTGGGGGAGGGGAGGACCCCAAATTTGGGGGGGGTCCCTGGGTGACCATGTGGGAGCTTCCCACAAACCACCGCGCGGGAAGCGATGCCATATTTGCATGACCCCGCCCACCAACGGCAAAACCCCGCCAAGAACCCGTCTTCATTTGCATAACCACGCCCACAGTAAAACCCACGACACGCCCGCGAAATAAAACATTTGCATAGCCACGCCCTAAACTTATCGCAAAGGACAGCGAGATGCACCAATCACAACGCGGGATTCAAAGTATATTTGCATAACCACGCCCCTCGGCCCCGCCCGCAGCCGCCTCGGGGCGCGGTTCGATCCCAGTTCCCTCCCAGCGCTCCCAGTAAGGGCGGGGCTGGGAGGGACAGCGCTCCCAGTTCCCTCCCAGCGCTCCCAGTTCCCTCCCAGTTCCCTCCCAGCGCTCCCAGTTCCCTCCCAGTGCTCCCAGTTCCCTCCCAGTTCCCTCCCAGTGCTCCCAGTAAGCGCGGAGCTGGGAGGGAAAGCGCTCCCAGTTCCCTCCCAGCGCTCCCAGTTCCCTCCCAGCGCTCCCAGTAAGGGCGGAGCTGGGAGGGAAAGCGC